GGGAACGCCTTGGGCTCCCCCCGGAGGAGCTGGAGGAGGTGTCTGGGGAGAGGGACGTCTGGGCGTCTCTGCTGAGTCTGCTGCCCCCGCGACCCGGTCCCGGATAAAGCGGAAGACGACGAGTACGGGTACGAGGATCTGAACTGAGACAAAAATCATAAATGGAGCTGACCTGAGACACAAATAACTGTCAACCCAAGAAGAAAATCTAACTGATGTAACAGGAATAAATTCAAAAGTACAAAGAACAGAACACAAGAATAAACTAAGAAACTAAACACAAAGGGCTGAACTAATAAAGCTAAAACATCTTAATGGCAATATTAAGCACAGGGAAATTATCTTAATAAGGCAAGACAATAAGAACCTAATAAACAACATGGAAATGATATAAACACAAAAACAAAAGAAAACCAAAGACCAAACATCAGTGGATTGTGGCACTGTCTGTATTACTGCTGACATTTTACTAAGGATTTCTTTACATTTCTACAAACTCACACAAATATGACATTTGTCTACCACTGACAAGAGGTCTACTAGTGATTATAACTTCACAGAACCTAAATTAAAAACAAAATCCAGTCCATCACTTTAAATTATCCTGAAGAGCTAAAGGACTGAGAGATCCTGTGTAATAACACTGCAGCATATTTTTGAATTTGCATTTTGCTTTACATTATAGGTTTACATGCCAATACTCTTCACTAAAATCAAGAAAGAGTGAGAAAAGCACATCAACCTAATTTCTATTTGCCAGCAAGAGGTCATTACAGTCTTGTTGGACACTTATTTGTTTTTTTTAGAAACATATTGCACTTTATGCAATGTTATTCTCAGATACAAAAACTGTTTCAGTAGTTAATAAACAGACAATCATAAGAAAGTCTGACTTCTTGTAGCATGACAACAGCTGTGTTTTAAAATGTTCACACACCAATGCGCTACTTTTGAAAACTGTTAATGGCTGAACATCATCATCTTGTTCTTTTTCATGTAAATATTCTTAATATCACATCTCTGAAATGTTTTCTGTTTCTGTCGTTCTGTAAGCAGTTAAGTAGGCCAAAGCACCAGAGGACCCTGTGAGTGCTTTGACAACTTTCAAATCCCAGAGAAGCTGCTCCCCAGAGGGCTGAAGGCAATATTTAGGGCAAAGCAACCTACAGTGATCTTTTAGCTGAAAGAGGTACATCTGAAATCTGCAAACATGAAATTTAGGGATAAATAATGAAGATGATGAAAACATTGGGACTTGAAAAATGAAAAACAGATACGTCCATGATTGTGCCAGTCAACTGCTGTATTTATTTCAGCAGGTTTCTAGTACAGTAAAGATAATGCCCTCCTATTATTTTGGTTGCTACCCATGTTACCAGCCAACAGTTTATACAAGCTGTAGCTATGATGGTAAAAGGCAGAGGAAGAAAGAACAAGGAAAGGGAAATCGGACAGAAACAAAGAAACGTCTGAGCCAAGCTGAATTTTGTTCTTGTGCGTCTCAATGGGCAAAGTGTGTTAATTCGGGCTCCTCAAAGAGTTGGTTTCCCAGCTTTCCCAAACTGGCAAACAAATCACTTCCCCAGCTTAATTGATATTCTGTGCACAATTCCCTGCTATTTGTGCTGTAGAATGAACAGCAGACTAAAAACAAAACCAGGTTAAAGGTGCAGATGTTAAGTTCTTTGGTTTTCTCATTGTTGGTCTAAGTTCTGTGTTCTGGTTATTGGTTTGAGTCATTCCTTCATTCATTGAGCATTTAAGCTCTCTGCTTTTCTTTATAGCTTACTTATGTCTAGTTTTGTTTTGTTTAGATACAGCTTTTTTTTCTTCCTCTTTGTGGTCAACTGTGGCTCAGTGGGTAGAGTGGTTGTCTTGTAATTAGAAGGTTGTCGGTTTGATTCCAGCTTCCACCTGTCAAATGTTGATGTATCCTTTGGCAAGGCACCTAACCCCAAGTTGCCTATTGATCTGCGTAATGGTCTACAAATGTATGTGTATTTGTGAGTGTGGCTGTAGTGTAAAACTGCTTTGAGTGGTCAGAAATGCGCTATTAGCCTTGGGCTCCGCGGGGCTCAGTGGTGCTGCTGCCATTAGCCCTGAGGTGGAAGTGCCTCCCTCCATTGATTGATATTGGCAAACCGGGGTGCTTATTTGGGTCAGCCGGGGAGCTGGCTCCCTGGGATAGCATTTTGCCCCTCAGTCCTTTCCTCTCCATCCCCTGACAGGTGTCACCTCCCTACACCTACTCCATCACACTACCACTAATGTACAGCCATGGCGTGCGGGTGCGTCATTGGGTATGAAGTATGAAGGAGGATTAGCCGAAAGGGGTTAGTTCCTTCTTTTTTTTTTTTTTAACCGTGTCCTGTCCAGAAGGGTAGCGCTCAGAATTGTTGTCTGAGTGCCAAGAAAAAGCCCAACAGATTTACTTTCACAAGTGGAGCATTACAGTTAACGCTTTAAAGCTCTGCTTGATATTTATAAAAAGAAACTTTATTAGAAGCTGCTTTGGGATTATTTTAGTTGTTACGGACATGGAGACAAAATGAAAAGGAAAAACAAAGGTGCACGAAAGAGAGAAAGGTTGGGCAAAAAGGAAAAGGGGAGAGAAGGAGAATAGAATGGAGGAAAGAAAAAAGGATGAAGAGAATACACGATAACACCCTGCTTGCCTCTACACCTGCAGAAACGTTCATATTACCAGCTTTTTAACCGAAACGTGCACGGTACTTATCAGTGCATTTAGTGCTAAATGCAGCTCAATATATAACATTTGTGTTATAGAATCTGAGTGTCTGAGTGTGAGCGCGCTTGTGTATACAAGGTTTCTCCATAAAAATATGAAATAGTGAGTGTGAGGAGCCACAGACCTGCCCCCTTGGACCCGGGACAGATACGGAGGAGATCCAAGCCACACACATCCAAAGGCCCCCCAGAGCACAGGACCCCCGGAAGAACCACCGCCGGGACTACCGCAACCCCCCCAAAGAAAAGCAGGGGAGAGTCCCAGGGGAACCACTCAGCAGCCACAGTGCAGAAGCCCCAGGGAGCTGCAGCGACAAGCCCACAGGCCCCGCCGGCAGCCATCTACTCCCAAGCAGATCCAGCCATGGACCAAGAGACCCGAGACCCCGGGACATATTACTCCCCAAGCAGAGGCCCGACAGAGCCCAGGGTTCCAGGCCCCGGCAAGCAGCCACCAGGAGTGAGCCAGAATACACTAAAGCACCCAGCCCCGGATACCAAGAACCACAAGTACATAGGCGGGCAGAGACACCAACCACCGGTAGGTAGTGTGGCGGGGAGGGAATAGGTCCCACATTTGATGGTCGGCCCAGACCCCGACCCCCTGCCCTGACCCCAGTCCCTAGCGACCCCATCCTCATCCGGAGAGGGGCCCATGTACAAAAGAGGGGTCTACATGGTCCAAACCAGCCCGCCAACCAGAGCCACCACAAAATAAAATAGTCCCAACCCCCTAATGAGTTCCGATCCCAACCCCATGAGCCCCCCACCCCAAATGAACCCCGACATGAATTTCCCCACAGGACCACCCCCAACCAGGACACAGATATCGAACATATGTCCCGGAACCCAAACGCCATGAATCTCCTCCCCACAGCACATGGGGACAACCCCACATGTGAGCTTCATCCCCGAAAAGCCGATGAAGCAACACCCACACAGCGCAAGCTCCACACATAGGCCTGCTCCAAGCAACCCCGCCGTGTCCCGCCCCCATGACAAAGCGCACCGCGACAGCAAGGCAAGGGCCCTGCACAATGCTACCCCAGCCCCAGCTCCAGCCCCAGCCCCCGCCCACAGGCGCAACATGGCAGACACCATTAAGCACCAAGCTGACAACGGAACCCCCGACCACACACCAAGATGGGACAAACTCACCCGGCAAGAGGTCCCCAGCAAGCGGCAAGCACTCGGGGCCAGCATCCACCACCATGCCGCCACAACCACACAGACATACCACATCACTGCCACTGCAACGATAGCCCACGTAGAAACATTATCCAGCTCATCTCTACCATCGCCGCTCAGCCGATCCAGATGCCAGTGACCCCACATCCAAGAAGAGGACACAACCCCCCACCCCACACGCTGCAGCCCCCCACGCTACCCTCTAGCCCACTGCCTCGATCCCCCCCAGACACAACAGCCAGTAGAGCAAGCCCGCCATTCGGCCACCGCCAGCAGCCCCAGCCCATCAGTTCGTGAGAGGGAAACATGCACCAGCCGGGTAAATGGGCCGGACAGCCCAACCCCTCCAGGCCTAGCACATCCCACCAGCCGACCCAGTGCTGGCACAAGACATGCTCCACCACTCCACCCACCCGACCGCCACCCATAGCCCTGCGCCCGGCCTGGGGCAAGAGCCACAGAAGGAAGCACTGGAGGAAGGCCACTACAGCACGCCAAGAAATGGGCACCTCGCCAACCCCAAACCCAAGCCCCGGAGGTGCCCCAGCATGCCGGCCACCCACCCTCCTGCACGGCACACCTAGCTGCACCAAGCAGGCTGGCCAGCCCCTCCACCAAAGCGAAGCCACATCTCAATCAACACTGCACACCGCCTGGCCAAGACCCCCTCGTCGGAGCCCGGCACCCCCCAACTGACGGACCGGGCACTGAAGCCAGGGACCAAGATCCAAGGCAATCCAAACAATTGAACAAAACAGCAAACGGGGGTGTGAAAAGACCCCAAGCCTACCTCCGCCCGCTTAAATGTGGTGGGTGTTGTTGTAGTGTGCATTTAAAAAGGAAAACAGGTGGGGAAGAGGGTCTGCCTCCCCACCAGAACCCTCAATGTCTACATGCAACTTAACCCTTAGAGGTGAGTGCAGGCACCAGAGGTTAGGGTAATAAAATACCCTCCCTCCTGATGCCAGTGCCTGCGCCCACACCCAAGGCCCTACATGTGAATGCCATGAAAATGTCATAAATAGGTGTCTAAGTTGTACAATGAAATTCAGTTCCTTCTGTCTATGTAAGCGACGGAAAGAGCAAAGAAGTAAGCTGCAGATAACAGTAAAATGACAGCAAGCTAGATTGTTGAGGTGTTGATATAACTTACTGGCTGTTGTTTTGATAGCACAGCTTTGTACCTCCTGCTAATGTTAGCGCTGTGCACCTGCTTTTAGCTCCTTAAGGACATCACTTTATTGTGTGTTTTAAACAAACAGTTTTGCAGTCTGTTTGGTTGCCCTTTTTGCTTTAGGAAACACATGATCCAAATGCATTCAGTGAGGTTCTTGATGCTAGCGTTAGCTAACTCGTTAACTATGTTAGGGTTTTGTTTAAAAGTTGTGTTCATTCAATTTGTGGTAGCATTGACATTTTAAAAGGTATCTTACATGTAGTTTGTGTAAAAACATTGTTAGTAAGATTAGTAATGAGATTACAGCTTTTGTTACTAGTGTGAATTCCTTAACTTTCCTCTGCTATTGTTTAAGAATTTACATTTTTCATATAGCCTACTAGGGCAGGGGTGTTCAAAGTCAGTCCTCGCAAGGTCCTGACGTTTCCCTGCTTTAACACACCTGATTTAGTTGATTGCAGCTCAGCACAAGCCTGTTAATCAACCATTGCTGTTGTTTGTTGGATTTGATAGCTTACAGATACAATATTAGTTTTAGTGCTGTTGTTCTCATGCATTAGTAAACATAGCACATTGTTGGTGCAATGATTTTGTATATACTTCTTGTTTTTTTGACATTTGTTGATATTTATTGAGGGCAAGTAAAGTAATGGAATCTTGTATGGCTCGGCAGCCTGCAGGGGGGCATGGTGTGAAGTGCCTCGTTTGCATTTAAAGAGACCGCAGAAAAACGAAACGGTCAAAAAGGAAGCTTAAAAAATGTGTAAACTAAATGCCTGAGGAGCTACAATAACGACAAACCAAAGCATTGCACTTCCACTTTATACAGACCACATTTGAATGATTTAAATAGGAAAAGGAAGGATTTAAAAGCATGATATGTCCCCTATATTGCTCCACTCGAAACTAAACCTGTTGGGCTTCTTCTTGGCACTCAACAACAATTCTGAGTGCTACTCTGCCGGACAGGACCCATAAAAAAAAGAAAATGAAATGCGTTATAAAAAATTTCAAACCATTTTACCATAGCTGAAACTAGACATTTAGCATTTTTCATAAATGTAAACTTTTCTTCTTTTAGGTCAGTTAGGAATGCCAAAATTATTTCTATTTGCTAAATGCCAAAATACTGACTTCAAAGTCAGAAGTTTACACTTCCTAAGATCACGATGCCTCTGAACAATTTGGGGAAGCCTATGATGTCCTGGCTTTGTAAGCTCTTGATTAGTTAATTAACCAACTTGATTTACATGGAGGCATAGCTGTGGAGGTGTTTTAAGGCAAAACCTCAAAGTTGTTTGAAGGTGCCATGTCCATCGGTGCAAACATTTTTTTTTTGTAAGTAAGGAAATCCAAAATGTTTGATCCAAATAATACAGTTTAAAGAGCAATTCTATCAAATATTGAGGAAATGCATGCAAAAAAATAAATATTGTCTCTCTTACTGATCTAAAACAGCAACAGTTGAGTCTGAGTTAATATCAGAGAATGAAAATGTTTTTTTGTACAGTGAATATAAATACCTGCTTTCAGCTGTATTTCTCCCTGTGTTTGTTTCATATGCCAGCCTCCCTGCGTTGCTCCGGCTCTTTTTCTTACTGCTGCTACTGATCAGTAAATCCCTCACTTGTTCCTTGTTCCAGGAATCATTCCTGGTTCTTGCTCAGTCATTTATGAATCCTTCTGTAACTATCTTCACGTCAGGCCGGTTTGATTCCTGGTGTTTTTTTCCCCTCTTGTCCAGTCTCCAGTTTTGTTTGTTTGTCTGTGAAGTTTGTCTTCACATTTTGTTAACATCTT